GCAATACTAATACCTGTCTATTCAGCAGTGGCTTTATAACTACATGTTCAGGCAGAATAATAGATACAAGAAATCTCAATCCATCCTGAAATAGTTTGTACAGTAGTTTTATTGAACACTTTTCTATGATCTAAAATACAGTGTGCTGATACTTTACTTAGGCTTTATTGTGAAATGTTATAAAAACTCTTTTTGCTTAAAAAATCAATAGAACAACTGCTTAATCTTGCACTAAATATTTTATTTTTCAAATCTGGATCCTGACATAAAGGAAAAGAACTCCCAGTCTGCAGGAGTCCTGTTCCAGTATTTGACAAGTGCAGCCAAGTTAGTTATTCTTGCAACAGACTGGCAAGAAAGATACTGTTACATTACTGCTACAGTTTTATGCATCTGCAAATTATAGTATCCTAGAGCTGGCTTGTTTCAAACTGAGAATGGATTTTGTCCCTGTGTTTTCAATATCAGAAGCATTCAAGTTATCACAGCATGAAATAACAGGTTTTTAATACTGCAATGGATTTTATGCTGTGGAAATTGCTACATGATGCATTGGTGACATGTTTATATAGAACACATATAGGAAGGCTTACACAAATCATGAATGTCAGCAAAATGGAAAGCATCTGTTTAGGCTGTGGTATGCTGCTAAAGCTCTCCTTACTGCCAGTTTGTGATATGGTACACAGCTCAGTTAGAGTCACAACAGCAAACCAGTGACAGGCTTTAGTTTTACTGCCTACTGCAGAAGTTCAGCAGCCTTCAAATCATAACTGCTAACAAAAAACAAGTTCAGTTCACCTGCACAGAGAACATGCAATCAACCCCATTTCAGAGGCTTCAAGAGGACAGTACCATAGTTCCATTTGACATTTTTATGTACAAGCACACTGAGGCTTGTTAGTGATCAACATATGCTGGAAAATGTACTGTGTTACACAGGAGGGAGAGGAAAAAGAAATTAAAAAAAACAAAAAAACCAAGACAACCCCAAAAGCACAAACGCCGAACTACTGAGCAATATTACAGGGAAGATTCATGTCAATACAAAATTCTTTTACAGCTTTTTGGATGAAACATCCTTCAAGAATAGTTAGAAGTCTACATAATACTCCAGAGGATTTGCTTTGCTTTTGGACCACCAGTTTAGCTGACATGGAAAAGTCTAGCTGCATAAGACTTCACACATCTAGACAGATTGTTTTATTTAAGTCAGCATTGACTTGCATTTAAAAAAAAAAATTGGCTTCAAATCAGCTGATTCAGATGATATCTTATGAATTAAGTATTATTATTTTCTAATACAAGTCCACCCACTGTTGGCCAAGCCAGTCTTTTCTGAGATCAGGAAGGGGAAGACTAGGAAAAAGTTTTGCCAAGAGCAAAAAATAAATAAAAGGAAAAGCAAAGCAGGACACAAGATCTGCAGGAAGCGTACATATGAACAGATCCTCAAGTAAATAGAAAGGGTGTTGACTACTCCTTAGAAGATTATGCCAAGATCTCAATTTCCACAGTTCAGATCTTAAGAAGAAAAAGTTATCTAAGAAGGCACAGTTAAGTCATTTGATACTAACATTTAGAGATGAATGAAACTTACAAAAATAACAGTCACAGCAATACTAGACTGAGCTTAATATTTAATTACTGTAAAAGAACACACACAGGATGCTTTAAAAAGGTCTCTGAAACAATGTTATAAATAAGTGTATGACTTAGGCCTGAAGGAAGAACAGCTGGAGCATTTAGGATCCTCCCATATTTTAATTCATGGTGATGTCATAATTTAGAGTTCTTGGAAACTTTGTCAATTCTGCTTTTAAACCACATCAATAACAGTCATTAAATCCAGCGTACATCTCTATTTGCTTCAGCATCAGTTTCACTTCTATGAAGGGAATACACAGAGCTCTTAATTGTTGCTGAGTCTTATGCACTTTTTCAAAACTTTCAAATTGCCCAAATTGCCTAAAATATACTTTAATAGTTTCTAAACAACCTTGTGTGCATTGAAGTATAAGCACACTTTCTGCAAGCTTTACAATACATTGGAAAAAGACTGCTCTGCCATTAGGTATTTCACAGTGAGGATTTGAAGGGGCTCCTTTAGGGTTATGAAACAGCATTTAACTTCCATGTTGAAGCCCCAGGTTTGTGAGGCCCTTCTAAGTTTTAAAGAGGAGGATTTTACAAAATTTTATCATCCAAAGGTAAGAACAGCCAAGGAAAGCTCAAGTTGAAGCGTATTTCAGATTGCTTAATCATTTGATTGTTATGCAAGTGTATTTCATAACACTATTTGAAGGACCAAAGAACAGTTCAATACTAACAATGGGCTCAGTCTGACAGCTAATGCTAACCCGAGTGTGCATCATGCCCTCCTTCAACATAACTTTCATAGCTCACTACAGTGAGATTAAAAATAAAACTTGCAAGGAAACAAGATTTAGGCAGACAAGAAGAGCAAGATCAAGTAGCTTCATCAAATAACTTCTCGATAACAATCTGCTAGTTACAGAAATAGTATCACCTCAGAATCAACTTTGAAGATTTTTCTTACTTCTACTGGTAGCCCCAGGAGAAAGTATGAAGACAAATACACAGGATTCCCAAGAAGTGCTCTTGGCTTGATTTCTTGGCCTTTTCTCCCAGCCACCAAAAGCAACAATTTGCCTCCAAGGCAATTCAAACAAGATCTCCAGCGGGGCTTCTAATAAGCCTTTTTCTCCAGAAGTGTGCAACTGTGCTATTGTAATCACCACCAAAACAGCATCTTAAAGCTGCTGACATCGTGCTCTAAGACTACGGAAGGAGGGAGCAAAGTCATTCCTTAATAGCAAGGACCTTTAAGGTAAATTTAGAAGTGACAGTTGCAAGAGATTTCATATCCAAGGCTAAATAAGGCTAAATGAGATTGTGAACTTAAAGTTCTAAGAGCATAGAGCCAATTCAAAGCAATTTATTAATAACTTCAATACCCACCATTACCTGTTAAACAGAGAGTTAAATTAAAAGAGAAGCCTACAAAGGGGAGAGCTTGCAAATGAAAGGGACCAAGTGCAAAATCCGAGGAGACAGGAGTTAAGCAACAGCAGTTAATTCCCTCAAATTAACTGACAGAAAAGGTAGGACAAATGAACATATAGTTACCCAGAAATGCGCGTGACAGTTGACCATCATGGTCCTCTCAATCAGCTCATCAGGACACTCCAAAAGGTGGTGCCCAGAGACCACGCCAGCATTGTTAACCAGGACCGAAACCTCTCCAACCTCTTTGCGGACCCTCTCCGCTGTTGTGTAGACGTTTTCTCTTTTGCCCACATCACAGGTGTATGTGTAAACCTGCAAGCTGCAATGGGGCAGCACATCTTTCTCTCCATCTCCAGCTACTAAGGAACACAGAGGAAAGAAAAGAGAAAACGTTCTCAGTTGGATTTCAGCAGGCAAATAAAGAATCGAGCGAAAGAGCAAACTTACTTCCAACCCACTAAAACTTCTGTTTACTTTAGTGTCACCACGGTACACGAGAACTCGCCCGCTCGCTATCGCTGCCAGCTCCGAGAGCCGCCGCGGGGACGAAGGGACACTCGGGACGCGGCCCGGGCCGTGCAGCCCGGCTCCCTGACAGGAGGGCCTTCACCCGGCGCCGCCCCGGAGCTCGGGGCGGGACGGCCGCAGGTGGGCTCCGAGGGGCAGCGCGCAGCCCCGCTTACCTTTGGGGGCGGCCTCGGCGAGCTCGCGGTAGATGTGCCGCACCATGCCCGCCGTCTCCTCGTTGCTCTGCGTGTTGATGTCCCACAGCACCAGCAGCGCCCGGCGCCGGGCAAACTCCAAGGCGAAGAGACGGCCCAGGCCGCTGCCCGCCCCGGTGATCAGGCACACCTGCCCCGCCACGCTCTTCTCCTTGGGCCGCACCAGCCACTTGGCAGCGGCCAGCACGAACGCCCACAGCACTCGGAAGGTGACCACGAACAGCTCCAGCAGGATGTTCATGCTGGCGGCCCTTCGCCCCCGGCCCGGCGGCCCTCACCCCCGCCCGCAGTGGCGGGCACGGCGCGGAGCGGAGCCTCCCTTCGCCCGGCTCCGCACCTGGGGCCGCTGTTCTGGCCGAGGCAGCCCGGGACCGGAGGAGCTACCGCCGCCGGGGCTGCCCCGCCCCGCCCGCCGCCACCCGGGACGCCCCGTGCTCCGTCCCGCACCCCACGCCCGACGAAGGAGCACGGGGAAGGAGCTCGCCACCCGCCCCGTCCCCGCACACCCGCGGCCCCGCTGTTGGCAGTGAGCATCTTGCTCGTTCGGCGCCCTATATAGGGCGGGCCGGGCGGCGCGGCCCCACCTCCCGGGCTCCCCGGCCCTCCCCCGGGCCCGCCCCGCATTCCCGGGACCCCCACCCCCGCCGCGGCCCCTCCTCGCCCCGCTCTCCCTCCCCGCCGCCGGGGGAGGGTCCTGCGACCGCTCCAGGCCCGGCCTGCCGGCAGCGGCTTCTCTCACCCGAGCGGCTCGGCCGGACTCCGGGCCGAGCCCGCCCTCCGACTACATGTCCCAGCGTGCACCGCCCCGCGCGCTGCAGCGCCACCTTCAGGCAGAGGCCAGAACGCCGCGCTGCTGGTCCGCCGGAGGAGGGCGGAGGGCGCTCGGCAGCCGCCGGAGGGGAAAGCGGGTTGTGCGCTTACCCCTGACTTTATAGGTGTTTTATCGCACATCTGTGCTCTGGTAGAAGTAATTTGCGTTCCCCGCTACAGTTTTAATGACCTCGGTGGGATATACGGTGGACTAGGAACACGGGTAGATAGATGTTCGCAGAGAGCAGCAGGAGGAAACTTCCCGCACACCGGCGCGCTGCGGGGCTGAGCTGTGCTGTGCTGTGCTGTGCGGCGACCCGCGGTGCCTCAGTGCGGAGCGCAGCATCTAAGGCTGAAGCACGGAAAGCTCGCACGACGCACCGCAGTCTCAAGCGACGCAGGCGTTCACGGGCCGTCCCGGGCTCCACACCGCGGTCCGGCACCGCCTTGGACACCCAAACGTGGGGTCCTTCCGCAGCTCAGGGCCCTGCCCGCGCAGGCAGGCGGCTTGAGTTGTCCGTGCGCATGCTCCTGCTCTCTCTCTTCCGGGCTGATCATGGCGGACAAGGAGTAAGTGGCCGCCCTGCCCCACGACAATCCGCTGCCATCCGCGGCTGTGGCGGCTCCTGTCGGTAGCCTCCGCGGTCGGGATGCTGTTTGCCGTCCCCTGGCTGCAGGGTCTCTGTTAGTGACCTGGAGGGCGGCCTGGGAGCGCCGGGAGTTGGGGCTGAGCGCGGTGGGGATGTGGCTGCCGCCTCCTTTCCCTTCCTTTCTGAGGCCAGCCGTGAGGCTGGGGGGGGAGGTAGAGCCGGCATCGGGCACGGCTGTGCGGGGCCAGGGAATTGCGGGGCCAGGGAATTGCGGGGCTGGGGAATTGCGGGGCTGAATGCAGCCAGGGCTGTGCTGGATTGGGAGGACTCGCAGGCGCAGGCCCGAGCTGCTAGTAACTTATAAACGCCAGTCTTGCACGTGTTTAAGCATCAAGGAGTTTCAAATGCAAGTAAACTTGAACATTGTGAAAGTAAAATTTAATTAAATTATCGGGCTTTTCTCTTCCTAAAGCTACTTCCTAAATGCTTCATGAAGTTGAATTGCTAACTATTTTTGATAGGTGTGCAGAGACTGAAGAATAGTATGTCAGACTTCCTTGTCTTAATCTTGTCAGGCTGTGTCAGTGCTATAAGTGGCAGTGAGAACAAGTTGTGTGCCTCCAGTGAACTGGCTGGAGACAACGAAGCCTGTATATATGTTGTCTTTCGTTGCTTTTGGTGTTTATGATGTGCTGGTTTTAGTAAACGTGGGTTTTAAGAGTGTTTTTCTTGTCACTTAGGGCAAAGAAGGTGCCATCTGTCCCGGAAAGCCTCTTGAAGAGGCGACAGGCTTATGCAGCTGCAAAAGCCAAACGTTTGAAGAGGCTGTTGGCACAAAAAAAGGTGAGTGTTGCATGACTCCTTGCTTGGATTGCTATCTATTTTGTAGGCAGTTCAGCAAGCTGCTGTCGCTGCTGACAGAAAGCAGTCAGGAACTTTGTAGTGTTTATATCATAGAATGGCTGGGGTTGAAAAGGGCCACAATGATCATCCAGTTTCAACCCCCTGCATTGTCGCCAACCACCAGACCAGGCTGCCCAGAGCCACATTCAGCCTGGCCTTGAATGCCTCCAGGGATGGGGCATCCACAACCTCCTTGGGCAACCTGCTCCAGTGTATCACCACCCTCTGTGTGAAAAACTTCCTCCTAATATGTAACCTAAACCTCCCTTGTCTCAGTTTAAAGCCATTCCCCCTTATCCTATCACTGTCCACTCTTGTAAGCAGCTGTTCTCCCTCCTGTTTATGTGCTTCCTTCAAGTATTGAAAGGCCACAGTATTTTCAAATATTAAGATCTGAAACATTCACTAGAAGGGGTTAGAATTGTATACAAAGAATTAGATTTAGGCAGAGCTGGGACAAAGCATCTGTAAAAGTTAATACTCAGCAGGGAAAGATTTTGCATTGTTTGTGAGGGATAAGCACGATATGTGGTAATGTTCAAAATAAGGCACTACTGTAGGGTGGCAGAGTTCACCACATTTTTGTTGACTGATGGTCATCCTGAAGTCTGCATTAGAGACAGATGTGCCTCGTATCTGTGGGGAGTCCAGGAATATGCTGTGTTATTTGAAGTTTGACTTTCGTATGTTAAAATGCATTATAATAGCCTGAAGTGATGTTTGGTTTATTCCAGTTTCGTAAAGCGCAAAGGAAAATCATCTATGAAAGGGCCAAAGCTTACCATAAGGAGTACAGACACATGTATAGACAGGAGATCCGTATGGCCAGGATGGCCCGAAAAGCTGGTAATTACTATGTTCCAGCTGAACCCAAGCTTGCATTTGTCATCAGGATAAGAGGGTAAGAATAAGAATACCTTGTTTCTATTCAGAAGCACTGAAATTCTCTTTTTTTTTTTGTCACCTCCCTTGTTTTGTGGGCTTAAACATGTAAATAAATCCAAGCTTTCAACAGGATGCTTGGAAAGGCACTGGCAGTCACGTTGATGATACATTAGTGACTTTATTCAGTTGAATGAAAAGTCATTTTGCTTTGTGTGTACTGCCATTGGGAATCCTTGATTTATTAAAACAACAAATAAAGCAAAACAAGACTACAAATATGTGCAAACTGTTAGTCTGTTTAAGTTTACCTTGATAAAATTTTATACCACTGTTCCCTACTGAGTGTTACTAGTCTTTTGGTAAAAGTGTAAAGAGAAAACTAACAAGAGAATGAACTGTATGCAGGAGAACACAATGATATGTAGTGAAGAAGTGTAATTTTGTTTGAATTATTTTCATGGAGTTACATCTGCTTTAATCCTAGAATTCATAACTATGATAACATACTGGCTTTACTTAGTGAAAGTGGTCAAATGGTGATGTGTTTTAAGATAGGAAGCCAATACTGTTTATTTTTCTGTTTGTTTCTTTAATGCCTGTTATTGCTGTGATGATACCTATATGTTTTCAGATGCAGATAACTGAGGCTTTTTGCTGTGTTCCTCTAGTATCAATGGTGTCAGCCCCAAGGTCCGCAAGGTGTTACAGCTTCTTCGCCTGCGCCAGATTTTTAATGGCACCTTTGTGAAGCTCAACAAAGCTTCTATCAACATGCTGCGGATTGTTGAGCCCTATATTGCATGGGGGTGAGTAACATGCTCAACTGTATCAAAGTGATGCGAATGTTGATTGTCTTGGATTTTGTTATGCTAGTCTTGCATATTTTCCTGTGCTCAGTTTTGAAATCAAAGGAGGGAAAGAAAAAATCGTGGTAAAGGCAGTGCTTGCTACGTATGATTACATTCTGTTGCCAGCACTGTTGTGAGCTATGTTACTTTTATGTTTACTTTTGGGATGTGCTGTAATTACCTTGAGTTGTTTGCTATTGAAATTCCATTTGGAATCTAGCTTGTATAGTTTAATAACTTCTACCTGACTGTTATTTCAGTTATCCCAATCTGAAGTCTGTGCATGATTTGATCTACAAGCGTGGTTATGGCAAGATCAACAAGAAGCGCATTGCTCTGACCGATAACTCCCTGATTCGGAAGCGCCTTGGTAAACAAAAATTTCCCTCTACGAAACAAAAACCAAACTAGTTGCACTTGGACAACTGGTGCTAAGCTGGACAATTGTACTTACTTGTCTCTTGGGAATAGAATTGATTAGTTAACAGGCTCTTTTTTAATACAAAGCATGCAGTAATTTTCACTATTAAGTATTGAAAGTAAAAGTGTTGAGAGCCAAAGTTTAGGATTTTAGACCTGTAAATTTTGACTGTAATCTCCTTGACCTTTAATGGACTGGTAGATGTTTCTGTAAGGAAAAAGTGCTGGAACAGGAAGGAAGTTCATCATACGTTTCCTTGAAGTTTCAAATTCAGTATTGGAATTTGCTTATATCTTAGACATCCATGCTCTGGTGAACAGGTAAACTTTTAATGTTTCTGTGAGAAGAGGTAGCTATTAAAGCCATCAGTGTACTTCGTCAAAGCACAGCATGGTGGTCAGTTGTCACATCGAACTCTAAGGCTCCTTTTTTCCCCGTCATGCCAAGAAATTGTAAAGTCTCTCTTGTCTAAATCTCCCTTCCAGTCAGAAGTGTCATGTTTCATGCTTTCAAATTCTGAAGGTGCAGGTATTATGTTATTACCACCTGCCTTTATAGTGTTGTGTTTGATGAAGTTCACTGTTACACGTCACTGAAGAATTTCGAATGGCATGAAGAAAACATGCTGTTGCATCATTCAACAACACGAATTGTTCAGTGAGTTTCCCTGAGCTACATGGAACTTGTATTCATGTGTATTTAAAAGTCTATTTTCTGAAGGTCCACAGAGCACTTATTTTGTTCCTCATTGCTGGACACAAATATGAAAAAAGTATCGATGAAATAATGTTGAGTTAGCTGCAGCTGATGCATTTTTGTTGGACAGTCAGTCATGAGCTATATTGACGGAGTGGATGCTTTTTGCTTAGTGAATTTTGTTAAGCTAGATAGATAAGGCAATTAGAAATATATAATTTTTAGCTTGTCATTGGTGGTGGCTCTGTAGACTTTCTAGAAACAACTTCTCTAAATTTTAGGAAAACTTGGCATCATCTGCATGGAAGATGTGATCCATGAAATTTACACTGTTGGCAAGAACTTCAAAGTTGTGAACAACTTCCTTTGGCCCTTCAAGTTATCCTCTCCTCGGGGTGGAATGAAGAAGAAAACAATCCACTTTGTGGAGGGTGGGGATGCTGGTAACAGAGAAGATCAGATAAACAGACTGATAAGGAGAATGAACTAATGGTAAGATACTACCAAATGTTAACATTATTCACTATTCTGCTATGTAAGCTGGAGTTGTTTCTGGTTGACAGTTTGTTGGTGCTTGAGTGGTAGGTACCTGGAATAGCCAAGTGGAGTAGTCTTTGTGAAGCTAAATGTTGATTATAGATGATACATTTATGAAGTGGAAGCATTACAGTAATTTGTTTTCCCTTCACCAGTAGCATGTTTGAAAGCATTGTTTAAATGTTACGATGGGAGGCCTTCAGATTTTTGGCTGCAGTCTTCAGTTCTCTTTAATAAATGCTTGATACAATTACTGTTGTGATTGTAATACAGTATTTCTTCATACTGTCTGATTTCTCCAAAAAAGAAGGAAGTTTATTTAAGATTGGGAGAAACTGAATTCTCAATTTACAGCATTTTAATGACCTGAATTCTCAGCTTAAAGTTTTGTTTGAAATGATTCAGTTCATATTAACATATTATTTCATATTTAATTTAGAAAGATCAATTTGCCACTTAAAATATGCTGTCCTTTAGAAATGGGTAGTTTTATTGACACACCACTTAAAGCAGTTTGGAAGTGGCTGCTGAAGCCTGAAATTAGTATCTGCTTTAAACTGTCTGTCCTATCATTTACTGTTGTCATTCTGCTATTTCTGTTTTGATGAAAAATCATTCAGAGGCAAAGGTTTTTTTCAGAAGTCTCGTATTTCCCATCTTTCCATCTTTCTCACACACTAAGCCAACTTCAATGTTGCCATTATCAATTTTTCCTCAAGGATAAATGCCTTTTTGTTACACCAAATGTTCTGGAATTTAAGATTTGTAATATCAGAATGGTTGGAAAAACTAACAGGCAAAAATGCAGTTTTTCCCAAACTCCTAAAAGGCGAGAAGCTTGTGGTTTGCCTAAGAACTAGTAACTTACAAGGGCTTGGTTAACATAAATAGCAGGTAGTAATGAGATTTTAGAGCTAAAAATCAGAGTAGAAGCTATTTGTTGTTAATAAGATTATTAACATATTTATTAAAATAAATAAATAAATAATTCTTAGAAACATGTTTTTGAAGGGAAGGTGATCTCTGCTTCTTTTTAATCAGGCTTTGCTGTGGTGTTTTGTTTTGTTTTTTTCTTTTAGTGGATTGAGCTCTTTCATATCTACTCTCTGTGCAAGAAGCCAGAGAACCTTGTGAGATAACCTTCCAGTTGTCTGGCTGAGCTGTTTTATTGAAGCTTAGTGTAGGCTGTTCTTCCTCTGTTCTCCCTCTTCCAAACTTCTTGCATATTCTTTTGTTTGTCTTGTATGAAGCGGTGGACCTTTAAAGTACTGATTACACAGCACATGCAAGCCTGGCACTTCAGGAAAACAGGGACAATGTTCCCATAAAGCTTTTTAGCTTGCCTGTGTAAAGAACTGATTTTGAGAAAGTGAGCTGCTGTAATGTTTGATTCCTTGGGCGATGTTATGTTGCTCTTAGAAGCATTCTCTAGAAGTGTTATGTTCTCGCAGGTGCTTCTCTAAAGTTAGTCTGTGAGTCTTCAAAAGAAAGGTTGAGCACAACTACTATTGTGTTTCTGGGTGGTTTTTGAGCATAAGATGAAAAATACTATATTTGATTCAAACTTTGTAGCTTTTCTATCAGCATGGATTCTTTGCCCTCCATCTTCTCTGTCAAGCATCCAAACAATACTGGCAGATATTGGAGCTTTACTCTGTCCTTCAGTTTAAGCTATTGGATGCTCTTAGCTCTTAACCAGATTTTAAAAGAAACTTGAGACAAGTTTGCTTTTTGTTTTAATTATTCTGTGTAAGCAATCCCTGAAACTTACTGAAAACAGGGTTATTGGAGAAGATATTAAATACATTCAGCGCCTCAGGAAGTCTTTGTGTACAGAATTGTCTTCTGCTAAGCTTTCAGAAAAATAGGAAAACAGATAGCAATACTTCAAGGTTGAAGTGTTTAATTCAATTAGCTCTGTCAATGGAAGTTGATGTTTTAGTGTAGAGATGTCAGTTTAGAAGTTGGCAAAATTTTAAGTCTGGTAAAGAAAAAGTAGTGTTTTTAGTCTTCATTATTAACTGTAACAGTATATGAACTCTTCGGGTGGCCAAAGTATTTTCAGATCTGTCTGTGTCTAATGATGCTTCTTTCTTTCTGTTTCAGATTCAGATGCCCAGCAGCAATTTTTCAAAGTCTGGTCTGTTAATAAAATCTTCTTGCACAAAACAGTGTCACCTCAGTTGTTCTTTTTGTAACCCTTTTTCATAGCAGCATTAGTTGGTAAGACAATTTGGAGCAACCTCTTTAAAAATATGAGTTACTCTTTGAATCCCCAGTATGCAGGTAATACTGTTTACAGCTTCAGACAGGCAAGGGATTAATTATTTAAGTGACAAGAAGTATGCGAGCATTTCTTTATGTAAAGAATAGCCAAGGTTAGATCTTTTGTTCTTAAAACATAAATATGGTGTTTTTAATGTCATAGTATTTACTTCTAGCTCTTAACAACTTTGGGTGATTTTTTTTTTTTTTTTTTTTTACCAAAGGAAAAATAAAATGCAATATGCAAAAAGTATTTTAGACATTGTGAGTAATTACTCTGCTTTACCTAATATTTTTGCAGTGTTTTATTTTGGATATCGTAGAATTGGATGGAGGCCACAAGATTTGTTTGGATTAGAACAGTTGTTGCTGATGTGTTGGACTAGCAGTCTAATAGAGAGACTGTTAAAATTACAGAACTCTTGAGTGGAACTTGTATTCAAGCTGACATTATGGATGCCCACTCCATGGAGACGTTGAAGGCCAGGCTGGATGGGGCTTTGAGCAGCCTGGTTTAGAGGGAAGTGTGCCTGCCATTAGCAGGGGGTTGGAACTACATGGTCTTGAAGATCTTTTCCAACCCAAGCCATTCTATGATAACTGAAGGATCTTAGCCTGCTGAGACATTTAGTCCAAAAGATAAACAGATTGCATCTATTCTATCTGAATGTTTTTCTCAGGGTGAGGTGTGGCACTGTATTGCACTAACGAAGGGTGTTGATTTAAAAACTACTGGTGCTGACTTTTTTTTCCAAAAGCTTGTAACAGGAGTGCCAGTTTGTTAAAGCTTGTCAAAAACTAATTTTGTTACATCTTTGTAAATGGCTCAGGAAGTGAAAGCAGTGGCTTCACTGGAAAGACTTGAGTGCTTTCAATAATTACTAGGAAGAAATTGCTGAAAGGGCTGAGTGTCAGTTGGTAACAGTGTTAACAGTGTTTACAGGTTCAATCAACTGAATTAGGAAACCTGAAGATACCTGACGGTTCCCCTGCTGTGACTTTAAAGGTCCAAAATGCATTGACACAGTTTATTGTGACGAAAGTGAAAGTAACACCATCTCTGTCCAGTTAAAGCTGATCACTACTGAATCGGAATGTATCAGTTCCTTGGATTTTCAGTTCAAGTAAATAAATATTATGGGTAAATAAGTGGATTTCTGGGTGAGTGAATTGAAAAACGTTGAAGTAATTTGTTTTTTAAAAATCTTAATGTGATACGCAGTCTTGATTTGCAGTGAGAAGGCATTGTCATGAAGATGTTGGACAAAGGGAAAACTGTCTTCCCCTGGAAATTATACATAGGCTATTAGAATCATGAGAAACCTCAGTTCTCATCTTGTCATGCCACAGACTTGATTCTGTTAACTTAAAGCTGCACTGATAATATATTCAGGAGTTGGTCATCTCTTCTGCTAGCACAAATTTAAGGATTTTAGTATTGCTCGCCAGGCATGTTTCATAGTATGCAATTACAGAAACAGCTTGTGGTTGGATAGTTAAGGTCAGAATTTGTACTGGAAATGAGGCATGATCCGTTAACACAAAGCGTGAATAATACATCTTGGAGCATTTACAAAGTAATAAGAGTTAAATGTAGATGCTGAAGAAAATCACTTGGTCCCTAAGCAATAAAAATGTAAATCCTTTATGATAAAGTTTGGGTTCTTGTAAACATGTTACTTTCTCACTGTTTACAACTGCCAGACTCTGACACGTTCTGGAATAAAATTTCTGTGAACTCTTATCCTCTTTTGGAATGGCCATCATCATCTTTTTTTTTTTTTTGTCAGAACTGAAGCCAGAGGCTTTACCTAATAGCCATTGGAATAGCAACAGGAGACTTCTGAAGCACCAACAACTTGCTTATAAAGTTTTCAGGCATGCTAAGGTTTATAGGCTTTACAGTTAATTGGTATTCCTTCGCTGGTGTCCAGCTCTTACAGCCCACTTCACTATCACCAAGTGTAAAGTCATACATCTGGAAACTAAATGGGAGCCCATCCCAGGCATCAGCATTTTGGGAGAAAGTTAGGAGACATGATGGATAGTCATCTGAATGTGTGCTCCCACTTGGCCAAATGCAACTTTTGGATGCTTTAAAAAGAGAATATCAAATGGTATGGGGGAGGTAATACTACTTTTGTTCCAGTAGTGCTTATGCTAGTGCCAAATGCAGTATCCAGTTCTCATGCCAAGAATCGAGAACATGCTTTATAGTACTAAGAGAGCTTAATTTATTTAGTTCAAATACAGACATGGTTACAAAATGAGTATCTACCTCTAATTTCCTTCGTGGAGAAAAATAGTTTGATAAAATAATTCTTTGATCTAGCAGAGTTATAATACGATGAAATGTCTTGAATTTGAGGCCAGATAAAATCTGGCTTCAAATTAAACATTTTTAATAGCAGATAATTAGCCACTGGAACACTTAACCTGTAATATGCCAGGTCCTTTGTTAGTGGTCGTTATTTCCAAATTGAGGTTTGTTTCTTTTTTTGTCCCCTTAAAGACAGAGCCTCTGAGTAAGAGCCTCTCTTACTTGGTAGAAATTTCTAATGCAAGCTCTTCAGGTACTCAAAGAACAGAAGTTAGGCCCTTGCTTCCAGATAACTGCAACTCACAGCGGAGTTGAGAAGTGCTGCAGCAGATAGTATGTGCTTAGAAGGGATTTGGAATTAGGCAGCACACGCAGTGGGAAGTCACCCAGCTGTGTCTTAGCAGTATACTAGTGCTCAGGAAAAGGATGGTAGGCTTTTGCCCATCTTCAACGAGTTTTGTTGATTCTGCCTGTTGGGCATGCAGGTCTTGCAGCTCTCACTGGAAGACTGGGACCAAATTTATTTATTATTTTTAAAGAACTGTCAGGGCTCACAATCAGTTCTGAGTCTCCAGTAAGGAAGGAGGATGGAGTCTGCGTTGTGCAATAACTGTCTCACACCTCAGAAGCTAGACACGTGTGTTTTGTTCAAAACATTCCTTCCGTCTTCCCAATTTTCAGAGTAACGTCCATAGAATTGTAAGAGAAAATCTCTGTGCTGCTCCATATTGAAGTTACATGCAAGTCTATGGCAGAGAGAAGATCTGGATTTTTAGCTTAAGTTTGAAAACTACAGAGCGGACAGAGATCTGAAAAGAGTCAAACTTAGAAGGGAACAAAATTTCAGTCTCCCAGATCCTAGAAAATACATTCTGCCAAACTAGTTTCGTTCAGTACACTGCAGTAGGAATTTCTTTTTTCTTTAGTGGTGTTTAAATTGATTGTTATCTCTTATGGAGTTCCCACTCTTCTTGGCATTTTTGTTTATTTTCTAACAGCTTTTGTACCACACCAGACTGTGGTACCTGGGATCCCAAAGTATCTTCATGGTGCTTAAAGACAAGTTCTGATGCAAGCAGGCTCTTAAGCAGTGTTTCTCATGACCAAGGAGTCTGAAAAATCAAGTACTAAGTTTATGAATTGTGGGTGCTAAGAACAGAGATGCTCAGAAACATTTTTCCACACAAAGATTCCTTAATTTTTTAATTTGTCCCTATGTGGTGATACCAGATATTGCTAGTCTTATCCACAAACACGGGAAGTACTTATGATTTTTTTGTCATACTGCAAATAAGCAAATTTTCAGAGCTCTAAGGAGTTTGGAGTTTCTGCACTTTGTTAGGAGCTACTCTGGGATTCTCACGCTTGTACATGAGGGCAGCTGTTACTGAAAACCTGCTCTTTCTTAACATCCCAGTAAAATTCAAAGGAAGTTTTCAGGTCAATCATTCTGAACATCTAATGTCTAGAATACCACAACAGGATCTAATAACTCCAGGACAGTGATGTTTAAATTTTTGATACTAATACTGTATATCACACATCACTATAAGGCCTCCAAGATAGAAACAAATACACTGTGAGCAAAGACATAAAAAAATGAGAGTCAAGCCAAACATCTCTAATTTTAGTTTGAAAAACAGGTGGACTCTTATTCTTCTACTATCTTTTGACAGGCATTGTTTAATATGACTAACTGTAGGACATGTCTAAGTGTTAAATCATAAATTGTAATACTGGCGCTTTTTTTTTAATGGTATTTTATAATTTCATTGTATTTTGCTAAAATCTTCTAATACTGAAATATCTTTTGGTGAAAGAAGGAAGGAAAATGGTGGTAAGCTTTTCTTTTATACAGACAGTCTATTGATATAACCCTCCTTTGTGAGAGAAGCCAGAAGAACTGAAATCAGCAAAAATAATGGGCAATGGTACAGTTGTTTTGAGTTAGGTATAGGAAATGCTATTAAGGTGTTAAGAAGAAATTAAATCAATTATTTGGTAGTACGGAGCCCTAGATTCTATACTCTAGAAGACTAGAGAATCTAGGATGTACATGTTGCGTTTATTTATAACCAAAAGTGTTGAAGGTGAGGAGGTCTTAGCTCTGACTTGAGCACAGTGTTAGCTGGTAGGTGGCATTGCTTTTATTATTATTGTGATTTAGTTTAGTGATCACTTCGTTAGATTGGAGTCTGGTGTTTTGGGGGGCTTCTGCATGATCTTTGCTGTTTTATTTCTCATTAATACTTCTGAAACTGTTGCTCTCAAGTATTTGTTTTGAGGGCGTGAAACTTGATAGACAAAAAGTCTAAAACAAAAAGAAAACCTCATTTAATCTTTTAATTTATTTTGATTTCCTTGCCGTATATAATTAAAAATTATCTAGGAAGAAGTGAATTACTAGAGCCATGTATTTTCAATAGTACTTCAAGCTAGCTCGTTTCCAATACCTGGAAGGACTGAGTTAACTTTCTGCTAGCCTGTCTGCCTGACATCTGGCCTCCTGCTGTCAAGCTGTTCTTTTCTCCTCTTTTGGATTCCAATCACTGTCTGTCTGAAATGAATTACTATTCTACAGCTT